ATGCAATGCTAGAACATCTCCTTACAAATTCTCTCAAAATCTCCTCTTCAATGTCTCCAAAAGGGTAGAAATCTACATTTCTACTCCTATTTTAACAAACATAAACTTTCTCCACACTTTTCCTAACATTCCTCTCACCAAAATCCTTATTTTTCTAACTTAAATTCGTTATTTTAAAGTGTAGGGACGAAGTATGAAGAGTTGCCACAAGCACCCTTCCAAAAAGCGTCCAAATACATTGACTTTCAGCCCATAACAGTCTCAGGTGCTATCGGCGGGCTCGAGCCCGCTGTCGACGAGCTTTTCTGTCATTTTTTGGTTTTCTCGGGTAAATCTCGCCGTCGGCGCCGTTTTGGCGTCGTCGGCAGGAAGACTGCACAGCTCCACCGTTTCGCTGCGTTTGGCTCCGTTTTAGCTCCGTTTCGCCCCATTTCAGTTGCGTTGTGTTCATAACAGATAGCCCTACAAAATAAACATGAAAACAACATTCCTTTAAAGTGTAATCTCATTCAAAAATATGCAAGAATAATAAAAGAGATTAAGCATCCAAAAACTTATCGAAAGGTGACAGGGCAAAATATCATTTCTTGCTCGTTTTTGCTCATAATTGCACCGTTTTTGCATCTTTTTGCTCCAATGACCATAATTCATCATACCTACAATAAAAAATAAAAAATACCCTTATTTAAAGTGCAATATCATCAAAATCAATATAAAATAGGTATGAAATCTCAACATATTTTCCTTTGGTCACTATCTTCGGGAACTAAGGATGACTTTGAAGGGCGGCCACAACAACCATCATCTCTTCCATCTTCTTATCCATTTGTGTGATATGCTAGTAGTTGGATGGCCCTTTGTAACTCATCAGAGGCGTTCTCCTTGGTGAGTTGTGGGGCATCGCGCAATGACGAAGAGGCTCGAGTCTCGACTATGAGAATCTCGTCATATTCCTCCTTCATGTAATCATATAAGTTGAAATCTCCGTCCTCATCATTGTTTTGTTGCTCCTTTAATAATTCTAAAATATCAAGTTTGAGTTTTTTCAAGGTGTCTTCAATCGAATCCCCTCTATTTGTCTTGAGATCAACATGCACTCACTGACGAACATCTATGCTTACATCTGATTCTGACACGACATCTGGTGTTTTGGACTCAAGATCCTTTATGGGGAAATGGTTCTCCAAGATTTTTTGGTAGTATCTGACCGGCGACTCTAGGTCTCCACCTTTTCCCCTTTGGTACTGATGTTCGAAGACGGGGTGTCTCATTGATGGCATCAATGCGGTGAAGGGAAGGATGTCCCCTGGTATGCGAGCCGAACATTGCGACAACTGATCTCTTGGCCTCCCTTTCCTTCAAGAGCTCTTCATGTATAAAGTCAGATGATAATCTCGGTCCCAACCGTGACATGACTGACCTTCGGTTTGAGGTTTTGACATTGGTGATTGTGGCGGCAGTGGCATTGGTGACTTCTCGCTCTCCCAAGCGGAGCTTTGCAAAGATACAAGATGGTGATGCCTTCTTGTGGCTATGGAGTGATGTAACGAACTTGTCCTTCTTATAGATTTCTGCTTTCATTCTGGGAGTTAAGGCACATCCCATCCACTTTATTAATTCATTAACAGGATTGTTTTCTTCCTAAGAAATCTCTTGAAAACTAAGTGAATTCGGGTGAGAGGGGTAGACTTCTCTTTATTTTCTCCCCATCTATTTTGGAGAGAAGGCGTTGGTAGCATGACTGCAATCCGGTAAATGCCTTCCTCTCAGGAAGTGGTAGACAAAGGATGAAACTTGCACCCCTCCGGGTGAGGTGAGATCTTCATTGAACCTATTTCCTCAGGTAGAGGGACTACTTCTACTAGGACTGAGTTGGCAGTCTGTGCCCTCTGGGCCTTCAATTCTCTTCTCTTTTGATTCTTCCTTTGAGATCGTGTCGGTGGCATGAACTTAGAACATGACCCAATCTCAAACATGGAATATGGTGGGGCAAAGACATCCATTGGATCTGCCCTCTGGGCCTTCAATTCTCTTCTCTTTTGATTTTTCCTTTGAGATCGTGTCGATGGCATGAACTTAAAACATGACCCAATCTCAAACATGGAATAGGGTGGGGCAAAGACATCCATTGGGTTGCTCTCGTACAAAATTTTGTTTCCTTTCACTAACGGAGCAGCTGGTGTAGAGACAGTAAATCTGGTGGGTGAGGTTATAACAGTTCTGACGGTAGTAAGGACTGCTCTAGCGATAATGGGAGTAGCGGTTGAAACAGGGGCGAGAGTGACCTTCACCTTCTTGAGCGAAGGGAAGTCCTGAGCATAGTGCAGGTTAAACTCGGAAGATGACTCCTGAACCTTGGGGGCAGCTATCTTCGCTATCATATAGGTGCCTTTCCAAGTAGCACCTCCAACTCGTTGAAACCGGACCCAAACTGGATCATTGACGACATGTGGCGAGATTTTTGGTCAGTAGACGTGTTGAATAGGAAAGTCAGACTAAGTGACAACATTGTTCATGCAAGTCAAAAACTTCCAAATGTTAGCAAAATCCCATGCTTTATCTTTGGGCATTGTAAGTAAGAAAGTTAACAAAATTGTCTTACCTACTAAGTATTACGTTTTAATGTATTTATTTTTAGCGTAAGTAAGAAAGTTAACAAAATTGTCTTACCTACTAGGTATTACGTTTTAATGTATTTATTTTTAGCGTTGTGTTGATCTCTAAGACATTCTTTGTTTTGCTTAGAATTCTTTTAAGAGAAATTATTATGATAATAATTTCAATTCATTTCTTTATGAACAAGTTGAAAACAAAGAAGAATGAAGCATAGAACCTGATCTAAAATTTGGAGAGGGATTAGCTTCATATTGAAATCGCTCGATGGATCGCTTTTAATCTACCACATTTATTGGGTTGGGAGTTCGACCCACACTAAATATCTAAAGATTCCGGTACCTCACTGTTTAAGGGTGACTAAACAGAAGGTTCTAGAATCCAAAAGGGGTTGACTATACTTGCTCAAGGAAGAAATGAGTGAAGTACGCCAACAAAAGAATGGTAGTTTGGCTCACAAAGACCATAGACACACTACAAATATATGAAGACAACACCTCCTGATCAAAATGGAGAAAGGACTAAATCCCTAATGGAGTCACTAGAAATTGTAGGCCAGATTTTTGGTTCGATTTAATTTCTTGAAAAATAGTATTTAATTTAATGTACATGTACTTTTGATTTTTTGAAAATAATATTTTAATTTCAAAAATGAGAGCAAAAGATCTCGCACGTCTAATAGTTTAAATAACCGAGCACCACACCACAAACAATGCATCTATCCCGAAAAATAAACACATTTCTTGTTAGCGGGGTTGAATATATAATATAAAGAATTTATGACATATGTTTGGTCTGCGAACCTTTTTTATATATTGATCGACAAGTTCCCCAATCTAATATAAGAGGATTATGATTAATACCCAAGAAAAAAACACATCTACGGCAATTCACAATGCACATGAGATTTGCAACAGCTATAATTTGCACCCTCACAGTACTACACTCTTGAAGTCTGTAAGTTTGGAGAAAATATTCTGTTCGGACACCACACATCCGGATGGCCAATCACCAGCGGCCACGTCGCCATACAAGTCTTTGGCGGTCAAAGTGGCCGTCGATGGTTGGCCATCCAGGCGGAATATTTTTTTGTAAGCTCGACAAGACATTAAATTCATCACCTTAATTTGAACAAAATAATCTAATTGTGTACAAATTCTAAATTAATAGCACAAAATTCTTATGTTTTTACACATCTCACACCTAATCTTTCATAGTTTCACATTACACCATGTGAGATATATAAATATATAAGAACCATGTACTACGTGTGTAAATTCATCTTCCATCATGGGACCTCCATAATAGCTGCAAAGTTTTAGCTGAGCCTATGGCAAGTGCCCCCATTCCAGAGAAACAAAAAAAAAATGATTTACAAACATACCTTTGTAAAACATTACAAAATTTACAGCTTTATTGCAGTATGATTGAATTGTTTTGTCATGCAAAACGACTACGAGATATTGAGTTGATGGTTGTTGAGATGGAAGAGGCAGGCTTAAAACCAGACATAGTTATCTTCAATGCTCTGCTAAAGATGTACACAAAAATTGAAGATTTTAAGAACAGTTTGGAGATTTATCATAGAATTGTAGAGGCTGGGTTGAGCTTGAATGATGATACCTTCAATACACTTATAATAATGTACAGCAAAGACATGAAACCTGAGCAAGTTCTTATTGTCATTTGTTCAAGGTATAATCTGTAACAAATTCAATAACCATGATCATTTTTTACATACATACATGCCACTCAATTCTTATATATTTGCATATCGAACACCTAACCTTTGCTTGTCTACGTTTATACCACCCAAATCATTCATAACAACTATATTACAGGGTGATCAATTCAAACTTCTTCAGAAACTGTTAAAAATAAGTAATATTTCACTGAGCTGTGGCTTCCTACAAAAAATCATATTTTCAGATAAATGCTTACATAACACTCAATTCCATTCCTATGTATGTATTTACATATCTAACAACTAAACTTAAATTTTTACGTACTGAAAAGATTTATATAAGTGTTCATCTCTCTCCAGTTTATGTTGATGCATGGTAGCAGTGAAGAGCTCAATATTACCAATGGTGCCTGTAATAAAACAAGCAACAATGAAAAGTGTTAAATGCTTAACTATAATTACTAAATCGTAATTAATAACTTAACCATCTACTTAAATCCATCATAGATATTCAAAATAATAGTATAAAATCCTTGCAATAATTAAGTAAGATCTCCGCAATGTCCTTCAACAATCAAATTATGCTCTCTAATTCAGATTAATGTTACAATTAAGAAAATAAATATCAATATAAACATGATTAATAATGATGTTAATGGCCTTCAGTGCAAGTTTCATCTTATTCATTGCTCTGAATTGCTTCATGCAATTCAGCACTGCACTGTCTATTGGCTTATCAGATTCTTCTCCTTCTTTATGAATGATGTGCAATGCTGTAGAGGTCAATTGAACTGGTAGATACAGGCTTGCAATAACAAATGTCAAAAATCTTTGAAATGATGAGGAAAGATTTTGTATCTGTCATGTCAGTGCTTACAAAATAATTGGAAACAGCTAGTTAATATTTCTTGATGTGAACATTAAAAGATTAATCCACTCCTTTCATAGCACCAAAAAATAATCAAATCCAAAATTACAAAAAAAATAGCAGCTGTACAGCTTCGCTCAATATGGTTGTTCCATACCTCCCCTTCCTATTTGTAGTTTAGCCCAAAATTCAGTAGTAGAGCTCGTATGGTTCGAGTCATTGAGTCATTGGTAGAATTTCCAATGTAGCACTTGCAAACTTTCTTGACTCAACGAATTCTTGCAAGTAGTTCTATGGTGGCCCCATAATCCGCATCGCCCGCATTTATGAACATGTCTTCTCTTTATAACACTGTTCTCTATAAAGTTTTTAATTATATTCTTTCTAGGTCTACCTCTTGGCCTTGCAGTGTTGGGTACTCCAACGAAGGTGGTATATCTATTGGCATATTCCACTGCTCTTTTTCTGAAAGAGTTGATATAGTAATCCCGTAAGCAATTTGTACCTACAAATGAAACAAAGAAATCAATATAACAGAACTAACCTGAAACAAAAGATAAAGAAATTTATACGATTAAACAACCTAGGAAACGTAGTAATACTCATGAATATGTGTGCCATAGAGAGTGCTCTTTGGTGCCAATGAATGTCGATGCATGAATGCATGGTAAAGCTCTAATTTGCAACACTGTACAAGTACATTCTCCAGTATAGATATCCACTTCATGTCTTTCGTGGTTACCTTCAATCTCAACTTTGTAAAGTGTTGATGGTTGTACTAGCCCCTATTCTTTTTTAGTCGATATTTCTCTCAAGTAGTCCTCGGCACATGGAACTAACTCACCCTTCCAGTTGCTTGCCTTTAGTTTTCTCACCACCCTTACTTCCATAAGTTTTGCACAATTCATGCCAATTAAATCAACCACTGGTTTTCTTTTAGCTTCACCAACCCATGCACTAAATGACTCAGCAAGATTATTTGTGTCATAATGATTGTATATCTCAGTAGAAAAATTACTTCTATCCCAATTATATGGTAACACCTGTAAATATGCAAACACTTGTGAGGAGCTATAACTCAACTCATTCATAATATCATCAAATTTCTCCTTGCTAAAGCAGTTAGATGCAGACATTACCAAGCTTGCAACTTTACCAGTGCCCTTATAATGAGACATTTTTTTTTTTTAAATTCTTCCATAAATGATGAATAAATACTGTGTGTTCTGCTTTTGAAAATACAAGCTTACCAGCTTCTGTGATGCCCTTCTCCATGTCAGATATGAAAGTTATGTTGCTCAAACAAAATTACTTCGGGCAATTGTTCAAAAAACCACTGTCATGTATTTTTGACTCTGTCTCAGCAACAACAAATGCTACAGGAAACAATCCATTATTTTCATCCAATAAAGTTGCAGATAGAAGAACACTCAAGTACTTAGATTTCAAATGACAAACATCAACGCCAATAAAATGTCTACACCCAGCTACAAATCCATCAATTGAGGCCTTAAAACAAATAAAAAATCTTTTGAAAGATAATTCTTGCTTACTACATGTGTATAAATATGAGATCCAAGATTTCGACTCATCAGTTATGCTTTCAGTGCAAGTATCCACTTATAATTATCATCAACCGATCTGAAAACGATACTCCGTGCTTCTTCTCTTTGTTTGCATAACTTCATGTACGGAAGTGAAAGACCATATAAATTCTTCAAAGTGTTATTTATTTGCTTTGGAGAGATGTCAAGATTCATTTTCACAATATCTTCTATCTCGTGAGCTACACAAGATATTGTTGCTTTTTTATTCCATGCTCAGCTCACACCGTGTCATGAAAACCTTGGCTCTAATTTTCTTGCCTCAAAATGATTCTCATGTGCACATAGAGTAGCTCTTACTCTCCAAGAGGATCCATAATGTGAACATAAAGCAACGAATCAGGATCTATGGTTGGCTTGAAACTTCAACCCAAAGCTATTTTTAATTGTAAAAGAGCAGACAATTTGCCTGAAATGGTCTGAATCATGAAAACGAGCACCAACTTTCAGCTAACTTTCACATACTATTTTTGTAATAAGAAATTCCTCATTGTAAATTCCTCTCTCAACATTGTCAGCACAATTAAAAGTACATTTTGTGCAATAACTATCCAACACAGATCCACCAATCTAGAGTTGTTCACCTTCTGGCACATCCCAAGATCTTTTTGATTTTGAGTGATAATCACTACCTCCATTCGGACATATCCTTTACACTGACCAATCATTTCCACAACTTCAGCGTCACAGGTAATATGAATATATTCTTTGGGCGATGTTCCACTTTTATGGTAATGCAACTCAAATTCACGTTCTTTGAGCCAAGGACATATCACATCAACCTCTTCCTTTAACATCTGTAAATTCACCTAATCTTTTTGAATTGTAATCATTTTCTGCCTCCCTCCATCGTATCTCATTCTTGGTTGATTATTAGCTGTTAACTAATATCCACCATATTTTAATGTGATTTGTAACGACTCAACTTGTTCCACAGTTAAATCCATTTCTACAGATGAATCACACGAGCACATCCATAACAAAACAAAAGCAATGATAATTATGTTCATAAAATAACAAAAATAAAGTGCATTCGTTGTCTGACTAGTTCAATGTCCCAAAATTTAAGTGAATAATAGTATTACAGTGACTATGTTCTCACCTTGTGGCCCAACCAAATCAAATATCACAAGCACATTGCATACATACCTCACAATTCTTATTTATTTACATATGTAACACCTAAACATTCTTATTTGCAAAACAAACCACTTAAATATTCAATATAATTCTAAACTTCTCAATTTTAGAGAAATGCAAAGCAAATGACCGCTTGTAAATGATAAGAACTAGAACAACTAAATTTACCTCTCTTAGTTTCTTATGGCCTTCTCTGTCTTACCCAAACCAATAAAAACACTAGACTCAGAAGCAGCAGTGCAATCTCCCCAGCGACGCCTACAATAATAACAGTCTTCTTCTTCCTCTTATGCCCTGCTCTGCATTTCAACAAATGCAAGGCAATCAAACCATTTCAATTCTATTATTTTTTCATCAAATTTAAGAAAAAAAAAAAATACAATGATCAATTGAATACCGTTAAAGGTATGGCAGAGGGAGATGAAGCTCGAGGGGAAATGAATTTTCAATTAGGGTTTCACAGGAGACGAGGAAGGCGGCGGGAAGATCAGCGGCCCAGTTACGAGCGAGCGGTGGGGAATTGGGAGACCACAGCTAAATACCATCGTAAAAAACATAGATCCGTCAAAATAAAACTCCGTAGCTACCAACCGCAAACATACCGAGCTCCAATGAGATCAAGTGCTAAGAGCCAAAAAAGAATCAGTCAAATCTTTCACCTGTAAATTACGAAGAAATATTACATCAGTTACTATCCACTTAAAAATAATGTGCGTAGCCAATCAAAATACGTCACGACATCTCGCGCGGTAGAGTAAAAAAATGGCACAGTAACACGAGGAATATTCCCTCATGTGTTATTCATGTGTTATTGCGCGTTATTCATATGTTATTGCGTGTTATTCATGTGTTATTGATGTGTCAGGAATATTTCCAGGATACAATAACACATGAATAACACACAATAACACATGAATAACACGGGGGGAATATTCCCCGTGTTACTGCGCCGTTTTTTTTCTGCGTCGCGCGGGATATTGTGGCGTGATTTTATTGGGTACGCATGTTACTCTACGTGTGTAGTACTGATGTAATATTTTTCCGTAAATTACAGAGTTTGATTTTTATATATAAAAACCCTTATTTCTTATTTTCAAGTCTACTTTGCCCTAACATTTTTTTTTTTTTTGAAAAGTCAATTTTTTTTCTGATGCAACTATAATTTTTTAAGGACACAGATAAAATATAATTTTATTAAATAGAAAAAAAATATGATGTGACATCAATTTACACACTCAAGCCCTCTTAATTGGTAGAAATATCTTAAGATGTACACAGAGTTTTGCACATATTAGCGCACATCTTAAATCATTCAGAAGATACAACCGTTTTCGAAATAACATAATTTTCTGTGCAGACTTCTGACGTAGCTCTATGTGTGACGGATGTTATTTCTGAGTTATTTTCAGGTTATTTTTGGATTATTTTCAATAATATCGAAATAATTCAGAAATAACTCAAAAATAAAAACCTTGGATTATTTGAGAGGGAGTTATAAAAATAATTCAAAAATAAATTGAAAATAAATAAAAAATTATCTAAATGAGCTCCTCGAATAACATCAAAAAACATGAGATATAGGCAAATATTTCTTCTTAATTCGCGAGTAGTCTTTCTACCTCCCCTATTCTTGTCCAGAGAACCAAGGGTGCGGCTAACCCCGGGAGGACGAAGAGAAAACCTGTTTTCACCATTAGAAGCAAGTCACACGTTCGAACGCCGAAGTGGTTTTTCTTCTCGGGGAAATATTGATTTCACAACTACGTTTTCGATTATGAGGGAGATGCACCTCTTGCCATTCATCGCACTTCTCCTTCTTCTTTTCGTTTACTCGCCAATCGTTGCTCTTGGCGACCAGCTCAGTCCAAAGGAGTGCGAAAATCTAGGGTTCACCGGCCTCGCTCTCTGCTCCGATTGCAATACTTTTGCACAGTACATTAAGGACGAAGGTTTGCTCCTAATCTATCCTGATCCGTTCAAGAGTTTGAAACATTGTGATTCATGTATGCTATCAAGCTATTTTAACTGGATTCATTTTAACTTATCTACTGCCCGATTGGGATTCTTTGGTCATCAATCGATTGTTCTTTTTTTGTTCTCTATCGTTTAATATGCGAACTCGGATGGAGTTTAAATTTGGTACCTACATATAGCTGTGAGCTGCATCTTGCATGTTTTTTTGGCTGGGGATATGGGTTAAGTGGGGGTTTAAAACCAAAAACGATTCTCAAATAATGAAACTTTAAACTATGAAAACATTGTCTGTTTTGAGGATCAATTTGAGAGCACTTTCTTTGTTGTTGAACCAAGGGGTTGTTTGGTTTTTTGATATTTAAAATTGCCATTCTTACTGCAGGCCAATTAAAATTCATATGCAGAAGTGCACATGCCTTATAATCATTTAGTCATGATAACTATGGTTTCATCAACATCGCATATAATAATCATGACTCATTTTCTAATAAAATGTTGACTGGAAGACAACTAGACTAATAATTTCATAGGAACTCAAATACAGAGTATTATTTATATAAGAAGTTATATTCTTATCCAACAAATCACGTGAAGACTTAGAAATGATACTCCAACTAAACTCATTAAAAAAAGCTGAGCCAAAAGTTCTAACTAATGCTAATTCTCTTAAATGATCTAATTATACTTTTTTAAGATGTGCATGTAATGAAATTCAAAAAAATACAAAATTTCAATAAGAGTAGCTAGACAAAAACATAAAAAATTAGGAATCCTGGAGGTCCCTGAGACCAATGAACTTTGAAAAATAAGCACCCATGTGAGATGGTGTAAAAGAAGTTGCACTAGGAAAGGGAAGAATAAATTGAAGTAGACTTGAATCTATGTGGAAGGGTGAAAAACAAGTTTTGATGAAACAACAAATGACTATAAAGAACGAACTATGTTGAGAGATAAGAAGGCAAATCTTCATGAGATTGTTCCAAATAAGCTGTCTAAGAGCTTCGGAAAGCTTGCGCAATAGATGATCATTTTGTTCTCCTCGTTTCCTCCACAACATATATTTTTAGGGCTTGAGATGATAGGGTTGTATTGGTTTTCTTGCTATTGATTAGTTGATGAAGCAATATAAGAAGAAGAAGCATCCATCAAGTAACATTGTAATCTCTTGAAGTTCTGTGGAGAATTGGACCTTATTTAGTGTCCTATTGGTGAAAAGGAAATATTTAAAAAGTCTAGGGGTTTATTTGTAAAAACATTGTAATAGCCTATTTAAGCCTATGTTATAAATTACAAAGCAGGTTTTGAACAATTCTTCTTTATGATATCAAAACCCTAACCCTAGCAGTCATCATTTGTGCTTCTTTATCGTCGGGATTGACGTGCAAAGACCCATAACTCTGATTTTCCTCTTCCTTTCGCTTCATCATCATGAAATAATCATGACTAGAGCTAACTAGGCGATGGCGAAGGGATCGCAACATGAATCCTTGGGATACCACGATTAGAGCGACCCGGAATTTAGACAACACGCTTGGTTGTGCCCTAGGATCAAACTGATGATGCCTTTGGTTGCTGGATCACAACAGAATGGTTCGAGCAGCTCAGTGCAGGGTAGAGTTAAACGCTTATGAAACCAAAGCCGTGAGGACAATGAAGGCTGGGGAATAGTTAAATTGAGGATGTCAGGAGATGGAGATAATGCGGGACCTAAGGTTTGGAGCATCGGAAGATAAATCCTGAAATTCTAAAGGACTTGGTCGGGCTCATATAGGGAAACTAGACTCAAAATATCTCAACATGTGCTTCGACATAGGTGAAGCTATACTCTCTCCTGTGGATTTATAACTTTATGGACTTAGCACATATCTGATTTGGTCACGTTGGATCAAGTTGCTCTAGTAAGGAAGAAACTAAAAAGATATCTAATGGCCAAAGAGTGACAATGCTGAGAGAGATGAGTGTAGGACCACATATGCTTTGCTTTACACCTGGCTACTCAACTCGATAGTTCCATTGATTGTCTCATCAGTAAACGACATTCGAAAGGTGAGCGACATCTGAGCAAAGCTGAATAAAATTTATGCTGGAGCTAAGAATCACATGACACTATTCCAAAATTTAGTGTCAGATAGAGATAATGATTCAAGGTGAGAGATCGATTCAAGAGTACTCTATAGAGTTGGAGCGACTATGTGCAGATTTTGATCACTTCTCACCTATATCGAGTTGTGGTGATCCCCGAGTGCAAGAAAGGAGAGATTTTTACACAAATGAGGACTATGTAATTTTGGCCCATCTGAACCTGGACTTTGATCAGAGGAGATTTGTCCTCTTAACTTTGGCAATCATCCCTTCAGTGGATGAGGTCATTACTGCGATGATATAGAAAGAGAGTCGCATGAAGCTACACTCTGAGTCGAGTGAACTTACGGATGCGCAATCAACTTTGGCTGCTGTAATAACCAATTTTTGAGAAATTTGATAAAATTTTTGGTGACATACAATGCGCCCTAATTATCGCACCCTTTAGATTTCAATCAAAATAATTTTATTAAATTCTACACGAAAAATTGATCAATTCATATAAAGCATTTTATGTAAATTATGAATGAATTGAGAAATATAAAATTTTAAATATTTCAATTTAATTAACTTTAATTAAAATTAATTAATCCTGCAGCTTCACTATAGCCAGCTGACATTCCTTCGCATCATTTCTTTCTCTCTCTTCCAATACTCCTCTCCCTCTCGATTTTGTTCGTTAGAAGCTCCTGTGAGGAGTTGTGTCGCAGCAGGCCCGCAGACGGAACGAGCAACCACTGGTACGTCGCGACTCACTCCCCATCTCCAGTTTCCTCTCACTTTTCTTTCAGTTTCGCCCGCACTAGAGGTTCTCCTGATTCCTTCATTTTCCACCAGCTTCTGCGTGATTGCACTGTAGCAGAGTCGTGTTCGTCAATTGGGCGGTCCGCAGAGTGCCGCAATCTCAATTTTAGGGCTCTGGGGTCTTTTTGGTGAGTACAAAACCCTATTTCATATTATTTGAGAGTTTTTTTCTTTCTCTTGTTCTATTTTGATTTTTGTCTCGTTTTTCGTTTCTTTTTCCTTTCTAGTAGCAGTCGGAGGCGCCGATCTTATGTTAAAAGTGTCAAATGTGATTTACAAGCTCCGTAATGTATTCTAGCACGAATTCAACTAATGAAAGAGTTTGGATGATAAGAATGACAGAGAAGTTGATTTGGCCGCTTTAGAGAAGTGCTAGTTGTCGAGAATGTTGTTTAAGGTATGTTTTAGCAGTTAAATTATTTTATGAGCCAAGATATCCTTAAATTCCAAGTTAACTGCGGTTCCATGTTATTTGTTCAGGACTGCAGGCTCGAGGTGAGAGTGTGGATATGCACTGTAAACGACCTCGTTAATTTAGGCAAAGTATTTTTATGATAATTTAAGAAGATTAATGCAATTAACATAAATTGTTTAAATCTTAAAGCTTAATATTTTGTTTTATATGTTATTGAGCTCAATATAGAAGTTACCGCAACTTCCAGCCTTACTGAAGATCAAGAATCAAGTGTGACAATTGAGGTGAGTAATTGCGTTTCTCTAAATTTCAGTAATCTTCTTCTTTATTTCAGATTATATGTTTGACTTTATGTATGCCCTAGTTTTATCAGATCCTTCATATTGATTTGACAGATATGCGTGATAAGCATAATAAGAAAAGATGTGCATGTATGAAAGTTATGTATCAGATGAATGATATTTAAATAGATATTATATGTAAAATAAACATGTAAAATAGACATGTTAGAAAAATATACATGATATAATTAAGAGATATATATGAGCTAGATATAAGAGATTTGCATGAGATAGATATATAAAGGATATGAAAGATATGTCTATTGAATATTTGTAAAACTATATAAATATGCATGTTACTAGATGCATAGAGAAGTCTCAGAATAATGTATGAATAAAGAATGAAATAACTTATATGTGAATGCTTACATGTGAATGTTTAGAGAAAGATTTCACCTTTTAATGATATAAGCGAATGACGTCATTGTACCCGCGGGCGTATAGTTTTTCTGCCACCACAGACAATTTTGATGGTTAGATCTCTAACCTCTGTGCTGACGGAATAATATCAGCTAAGGGCGAGTAGACCAGAGCTTACCTCTCCAGACAATCATAATGTTTACATTATTAATAGTTGTGCCAACATGATAATATTGGTCAGGGGCAGGTAAGGGTCTTTCCACTATAAACAATTGCGATATGTAGATCGCTAACTGCTGTGCCGACGGGAGCCGACGGAACAATATTGACTAAATGTATGTTAGGTTTTATTGAAAGTGACCCTCACAGAGACAAATGCATACGTATAAAGTAAAAGTAAAGTTAAAATAAATATTTATAGAAGATTGAATACTTTTATTTAGAAAAAGTCATTGATGCATACATTAACATATATCAGATTCTTTATACACATAAATCAAATTGTTTATTAGCATATATCAGATTGCTTATAAATATATAAATATGAAAGATCAACATATTATAGGATTTCTTATAGAAGTTCAACATGCAAATTAAATTTATTTCCTTGAATTATTATACTTTAGAAGTGTGATTACTCACGGATTATCTTTAGATAACTTATTATATTGTTTTAATATTATTTTTAGGTATTAAACATTTGAACAAGATAAATAGATAAGGAGTAAATATATATATAAGACGAGAATAATAAGCATAAATATACAAATTTCTGCTTGTTAATTTTAATTATTTTTTTCAATGGCTTTTTCATATATTATTTGAATATTAAATTGTTAATGATGCAGTTAGAATAAGAGATAATTAATTTCCACTGTTAGTGATAAAGATCCTTCATATTGATAGGATAGATATGCGTGACAAGGATAATAGGAAAAGATGTGCATACATGAAAAATATGCATGAGATGAATGATATTTAAATATACATTATATGTAAGGTTGACATGTAAGATAGACATATAAGAAAGATATGCATGATATAAGTAATAGATGTATGATGTTGTTGACCTCATTTTTGTGAGGTCTTTTCTTCTCCTCCTTAGAGCCTAGGTTCTAGCTCTAGAAATTCCTATGGACCATCTTAGAAAACTAGAATTGAGACTCACCCTTCTAGAAATTTCAGTCAATTCCTATTTTCCTTTGATGTCTAGCATCTTTGGCACAAGACCATCGTCTTATGAACGAGCGGTTATGGGCTATGTTGCGTAGATTCAAGGAAAATGTTCCAAATAGGACTTCAAGCCTTAGGAAAACATCGTCACGA